ATGGATTGTTATTCGGGAGGGGCATAAGACTGGAGGAGATTGAAATCGGTCTGAGGCAGCGACAAGTGGTCGCGTCTCCCTGCCACCCAGTCTGTCTGCAGCCTGAGCCGGCTTACAGTAAAACAGGGGAAGTAGACTGTTTTGACTCTGTGAGCCATTTTTAACATGACGTTTTCTTTTTCCTTTCCTTTCCTTTTTTTTTTTTTTTTTTTTTTTTTTTTTTTTTTTTTTTTTTTTTGTTTATATTTTTCCCCCTGCTACTAAAGCATGACTCCTGTGAAATCTTGGTCATCTCTTTTTCATTCTTCTTTCTTTTGAAAACCCTCACACCCTGTTTCTGACAACCACTGTAACAAATTCCTCTTTTGATGTCAGTGTTTCTCTTTCCTTTTCTGATTACGCTTTGATTTTCACTTTTTCAGATTTATGGTTTCACTTAACCCTCATATCTCCTTCCTTTTTATCACTTGTCTTGTCCTGCTTCCTATTTTTCTGGGGATTTGTTTTAATCTATTTACTTCTCTCCTCCCAAAATCTTTCCTATGAAGCACTTATCTGCTGTTGGACAGTCACACAGATTTAACCCCCCACTCCCTCACTGTCTCCACGCATCAGTCTTCATGAACTCTGTTATCTCTGCTTGTCTGTCTGTCTGTCTAGTTCCATTTTCAGCCCCCCTCCCCCGTCCTCCAGCGGGTCGCTAATCACTTTTGTGCTTTTCCCTCAGCCCGTAGCGGGGGACTCAGGGGTTGGCAAAAGTGCAGCAGGAGGTCTGGCAGTTAACATCATGAAGCCTGAGTCCCTCTGGGAAAGCTGCTGCAGCAGGGGGTCTGCTCAACACGATTTCCCCGCCAGGAAACGCCGCCCACACAGTGGATAATCACAAAGACTTCAGTCAGACGCAAAGATAATTGTTTATGTGTCCAACTGCCAGAGCTACAGCTTTTGTGATAATGCTTGTGCTCAGTCTGAAAAAAAAATAATAATCAGAAAATTTTCTTCTGAGGAGCTTTCTGTGCAATAATCAGTCAACAGAATATCAGCACTAACAAGAGGAAATGCCAGTATACTGAAGTATCTAAAAGTCTTATAGTCTGAATATTAAAAATAACAACTAATAAATGAGTTTTATAAACCTCTAAAGGCCAGTTATATGTCCTGTTTGTGCACAGCTGGACAGATGGGCTAGAGTGTGGGCCAAGTGGGACCAAAGTGGATTATTTGTTGTCATGAAACTCCATTATCAAAAAGTTAAAAGTTAACTCACGTAAACACTACTTTATAAACTGCAACACTGCTGTCAGTTTCACATCTCACATCAAGATTTATCCAATTCTAAGTGCAAAAAGCAGCAGCAGAAGCTAGCTGTAGCACTTCCAGTGCAGCTGTGGGGCACTTCCTTCTGGAATATCATAATAAATAAATGTCATGGGAATGTTATTTTTTGTTTGGTTTAGTATGTTTGCTTTACTAATGCATTGTTCCCCATATGCATTATTTTAAATAAAAAGCAAATCTACAATTTCTTGAAAATTTTTTGAAGACCCCCAAGAAATGGCTCATGGACCCCTGTTGGTCCTGGGACCCCAGTTTGAGTGCCTCTGTGTTAACGCACCAATCCAGTCTGAAATAAACGTTGTTTCTCCTAGCTGAGACTATTCAATGACCTATTTACAGGTAAGACAATATTTATTCATTACTTCTCCACAGAACCGCACATTCAAAGATCTGAATTATTCCTAACCCTGGTCACATTATCAGGGTTGTCTTGGTCCAGCTTTATACAAGACTGACTATGTAAATGATGTTTATAAAAGAAATAACTTTGAAGCTTCATAGTAAACTTAATTTGTATCTACTAAACACTGTTTTAAATTCTTGTTTTAGTTTGGCCTCATAGATTATTCATCTTCCATTATATATTACTCATTTTCATATGAAATACAGTTTAAATTCACTCAAATTGACACTCTTTTTTTTTTTTTAATTGAGTGGTTAATTGCCCTCAAATTGCACTTTTGACATTTGTTCAGTCGGCTAACTKGTCTAAAATTGAAACATTTTGCTGGTGGTGTTTAATCAGCAAGGTTTAAATCAGAATGTTTAAATGAGAAGCATAAGGAACTTGAGAAAAGAGATGTTTAAAGCAGCATTTTGGAGCATTACAAGAAGTGCTGCAGCAGAGTACAGCATGTGCAAAAAAAGGTGCTGTGGACTCTGAGAATCACAGTTTATAAACTTATTTTAACATGGCCTTGTGAAAAAAACCATTGTAGTTCAAGATGAGAACAACATGGGCTTTTTAAAAAAGAAGGTCTCAGCTGACAAAATAAAATAACATTTTCCACTGATAAAAGGACTTTTTATGCAGTTGTAATCCAGCTACAAAAAAAAGTTTTCGAGGTAAATAACCTAAGGCAATCAGATAATCTGTGGCACTACAGGTGCTCAGAGATAAAGCTTTGGGGAAAGCTAAGACCCTGAAAACAAATAACAACATTCTGAACACAATTAGCCCCACAGGGAGGCAGCGTAATGAAACTAAGCTCAGCCTAATGTGCTCTGCTTTAATTGAGCTTTAAAGTCAACCCAGAGACTACAGAGAGAACTCCATCAGTAGAGGCCTCACTAAATCTTCAAAGTGAAATATGATAGTATTAAATAATAAAAGACATGGGCTGTTTTATTTATTCTGGGCTGATTTAACACATTTAATAATGTTTGTCAAAGTAGGATTAAATGCTCTTAAATTATTTTTTTTCTGTTGCTGATTAAAACAGTTAAAACACAGATCTAACAATTCATATTCAGTTGATATCATTCATACATTTTCTGCTTGGTTAGTTAGTGTTCTATAAATTGCAACATTTTATTGCTAGAATATGGATTTTATTTGAACAATTGATAAGCCTAAGGGAACCTGAACGGAATCTACACAGATTGTTAAATCTCAGACTAAGATAATAAACCATGGGGTTATTACCGAGTTCGGATTATACTATGCAAACATATCAGCTGCTGTTGATGCACCTTTATATGTTTCWGACAATACAGGTGCATTTCTTGTGTGAAGGGGCAACAAGGCGGTCAAGCCTTTTAAAAAAGGATTAAATAAAGCTCAAACACAACCAAGCTCAAGGAAAACACAATCTATCACAGCTATGGCCAAGTGTCTCGTGGGATTTGTGATGGACTGCAGGCTATTTCTGAATTACTTTTACTATTTTTTTCTCTGTGTTTATGTTTTTACAGCTTTCATATCAAATTCTCCTGTAGTCACTTATAGCTTACAGCGTTCGTTTAAATAAACTGTTGGGTTTTTTTTGTTATTATTATTCCAGCATCACTTTGTGCAAATATGAGTTCTTTTTCCCAGCCTTCTGTTGGTCATTGTGTGACACACCTCATGTTTGTTAAACAGAAAAGTAGTCCTAAGCCCAGGAGACAACGTCAKCGAGGAAAATGACAAATTAATGTGACAATACCGGACTACTCAAATGATGAATACACAAAACAGGAGACACGGAGACTCGTGCATGTCTCTCCAGCATTTTTTGATTAATGCTTTCAACATCCAGTACAGCACATCAGAATGCACTGCTTCTCTGAGAACAGTGTCACAGCTCCCTGCGGGTCTTCGCCTGTAAATCTGCTGTAGCAGGCGCGCAAATGCGAAGAGAAAAAGAAGAGCCTCATTTAGGAAAAAGAAGGCAAAAAAACTAGCGAGTACAGAACTTTGTGTCACACAGGCAATTAGGGTTGAGCTAAACAGMTCCTTACAAACTCCACGAGCAGAAAGCGAGACAGATCCCCTGCAGTGAGAGCTCCATAAGATCAAACTGTCCGCTGCTCTGCCAGTTGGCTAATATATACCACTGTATCCCTGCCACCAGCACCCCTGCTGAGAGGATGCTTAGTACCTGAGGAAATATTWTAATTTGTCATACAGCAGGTCAGTACTAAGGCCTGATTTAATAAGCGGTCTTGTTTTTCTGGCACAAAAATTYGTAACAGCAATGTACGCTTGCCAGGGTCAGTTTGCTTTATTCAAAAGGCAAGTGTTGAGAAAAGTAATAAATTAAAAAGCCACTTTTATGATTTTATTTTATTTTTTTCTGGTTATTGTTTACAAACCGGGAGTATGAGGAAAGGATTTTTTGGCATAAAGGTGTTTTACCTTAAAGCAAACCTTTGAAAAAACAAATAAATAAATGACTAAAGTTCATTTCAGGGACAATTCATGTTAAACTGCAAATAATAACAGCTGGCTGCCTTCAAATGACATTTACGAAATGAGGTGAAAGAGTTTACACATTTACGCTTCGAACTAAATCAAACAGATTGTTTTTGGTTATTTCACATCCAAACTTGCACAAAATCAAGATTTCAGTCCTGATTTGTTTACTGAACAGCCCATTTGTGTGCCAATGCTCATGTCACGGTGCTGAAAGGTGGAACAGAAACCCCCCGTAAAACCCCCTGTAGCTGTGTTTGCAGGGATAACTGTGAGGTCTGATTACAGCACGTTGGTCTGAGGGGGGCTCTCAATCCGTTTATCACCTTGCAGGGATTACAGGTTATGATTTGTCATGGGCACCTGGCTACATACGGATGGGGTGGGGTGGGGCAACAGAGAAGGATCATTAAAAAAAAAAAATCTGTCAATATCCTTTTTTATAAGCCAGACTCTTGGAACTATATTGGTTTTAAACCTGGGACTTGATCTACTTTTTGTCAGAGTCCAAAAGAGCTGCTCTGTGCAAAGCCTCTCTCTGTAGATTTTKAAAAAAAAGGAACAACAAAGCACAAAATTCTCTTTTATGTTTTGAGAATAAAATGATGTCAGAGAACAGGACAAGTTATCTGTTTGAACTTTCAGTTTGACAGCTCTGTCCCTTCGAGGTTCAAAATACTCTGTCTGAGGGACTTTGGTCTATAATTTCAAAATCTGTCAAACTTATGAGAAGGATTYAAAGAAAAAAAAAGAGTATATGACTTACCGGTGGCTGCAAACGTGAGGCACAGGAGCAGGGCCAACCCTGTCGTGAATCCCTCCATCTCTGTGGGGTGATGCTGAATCTGCAGCCTCTGGAGTGTGAAGACCCAAGTGTGCTGYTGTCTGCTGGCAGAATGGCTGTGGCAGTGAGGGCTTTCAGTCTAAAACAAGGAGGAAAGGTCAGGAGACAGAAGCAGTGAGGAAACGTGATGACWGATAAAGAGTCTGGACCACAAGTTTTGCATCCTATTGTGTCCAAACTACCACAAAGCAATCAACTACTAATCATGTTTTTTTTTTTTTTTTTCACGTAAAACCAACACAAAAAAATGAAGCCCTGACAAAAGCCTTGCGGGGTCATGTCAACAGAATTTTACTTTTGGTACTCAAGAGACAAGCCCGCAACTTTTCTGCCCGTCTTCCTGACGCACAATCGGGGTCCGAACCCAGAGGTTATCTGCYGTTCACTGGACTTCTGGTCCAGGAAGCTGCTGCGGCATCAGCTTTCTTTAAATAATCCCACAATGCCGGGATCAGATAAGCAGGAGACTGTTCCCGTTATATAATTCATATAGAGGGAGAGGAAGAGTTTGTGTAAACTGTGTGAGTTTCAAAGAAAACACACGCAAATAAAAAGGTCAAAGGAGACAAACTGCTCAACCTGAGGGGATCAAATAAAATGAGTTTATTTGGTGGCAAATGGTGAACAAATTACATCTCATTTTTTGCTTTTATTAATTAAAATATCTGACATCCTTAAAACACAATCTGCCTATTTCTGACCCTGGCTAGAATCAAACGGATTGAGTTCAGGATTGGCTACTGCCCTCTAGGTTTTAAGAAACATAAATACACCTCACAAAAGTAGAAAGTGGAAAACATATATTCAGAGTCCAAACTTACTTTTTTAAATCTCTGTCTGTCTCTGAGCTGTCGGTTTATAATAATCCACAGCAGAGGATGTGGCTGCGTTCAGCAAATGTGACGATCCATGGACTTTCCAAAGTTTTTGTGCCGCCTGGGCGGTGCAGATTGACTTCTGTATACCCCTCCCACAGGACTTTCCTCTTTTTCTTTTTTCTTTCAGAGGCTATTAACTGCTGCTGCTGCTGCTGCTGTCACTGCAGAAACACACACGCGGTTTGAACTTTATTGGGTCATGTTCGACGAGAAAGAGTAAAATCTAAAGGAGGGAAACGGGAAGAGTCTTTTATGACCTCTCAGTACTCATAGTTTATAGATTTTTTTGTTTGTTTTTTGTTTTTGTTTGTTTATGCTAGAGAATAAAATAGCCCAAACTTTGAGACAAAGATTAGAACTAAATGTATTGATTCTACTGCCAGGGGCGTATTTGTTCATTTTGAGGCCCCAGTCTAAAAACAAACAATGGTGCCTTCTACTTCCTTTCTTTCTGTTTTGATTCTTTTAAAATAAAACTCAACTGTGTTTTTATTGATAAATTAGTCATTATCTGTCAGGTACTTCACAATAGAAATTAATATCCTCTAAATTCACAAAAAAAAATCAACTTTAGGTAACACAGTAATAGTTATAAATGAGTCAGTTTTACAGAAAATAATTGATGTGGTGGTAGCTGACAGCCATCCCCAACACATACTCATGCCGCTAAAGGATTTTACAAGGTCTTTGCTTAAGTATTTGACATGGGAAGCACAGGTCATAATTTTAATAATTTAAATATTAAGTCAACTCTTGGATGGTCCTTTAAATTTATCATAATCCATGTCCCTTAGGGAAAATTAACTCCCATGCACAACTACCTAAAAGTACAAATTTTGAATATTGTCACCTCTCTAAAAATTTGCCTAACTATTTTTTTTCTAAAAAATGTAATACATATGTTCAATTTGTTTAGGTTTTTTTGTAAATCCAAACAAAAAAAATTAAAAATAAGAAAAGCGGACTTTTATTCTGAAGCGGAACACATTTTGCTGCCCATCCAAGAGGCTTTCTCCTCCCAGATTGGAAGCAAAGCATCTTCAGATTCAGTATAAAAGTCCAGTTGTTTGTTTTATAAATATTTTTAATCAGCTGGATAACTGGTAATTTTCACCAGCATAAGATTTTCGTGGACCTTTTTGAGCTATCACATCCTGAAATTAAAAATATCAAAATTAAGGAATTTTTACAAAATTTAACTCCTTACAGGTATTTAACGTTTTTAAAAACTCCATAATTCAATGTTTTGTTTTGTTTTGTTAAAAAAAAACATAGTTCATGGCATGGCTGGTTAGGTTTTTTTAATCATTCATTCATTCATTCATTCATTCATTCATTCATTCAAGTTCAGAGTTTCTGGGAGACTCTTCAGCACTAGGAAGTCTCCAGAACCCGCAGAAATGATGCCATGCTGCTTTGGCTTAACCAAAAGGATTTTGTTGACACAATAAATCGGTACTTACTCTTGCATATATACTTACAGTAGCTGAAAATAAATTTGAAATTACTTATGCACAGTTTTTTTAGTCACAGTTTATTTTTAAAAGTGTCGCAAATTTGTCGCCTTTTTTTTACTGCAATCAGTCACAACTTGAATTTACAGATCACCAAACCCTCCTGATGTTTTTATTTATTTATTTATTTATTTATTTATTTATTTATTTGTTGTTGTTTTTTTTGTTTATTTATTCCACTTTCTGGATCTCAAAAACTAAACTAAAAAGGTTTCCAGATGCCTGAGATGACTCTGCAACTATTTTGAGCACATACAGTATATGTCGTGCAACACTTTTAAAAATGGTTCAAAAAGCCATCATCTATATTCAGCAAGATCTTCCTTTCACCACTAACTACAAAATAGGTAAATGTACTTTACGGTTTATACATGGAGAAAATGATCAAAAACACGACAATGCCATCTTATTAAGCTGTTGAGTTATATTTTTGTATGACCACATTATGTTGCAATGAAAACAATGATGTCTCAAATGTTAGAAATGTTATTTAAACAGCCTCAAACTGATATCAAGATAAAACCATGCTTACATTTACCTATTTTATAGTTTTCCTTTATTTTCTACCACTCTATCACTTCTCCAGTTCTCACATGTTCTTGTTCTCAGACTCACATATGATCCTATAATTTAGAAGTGAGGTTTTTGCATCCCACAGGAAAGCATTTTCAGTGGTCATTAGAAAGCTATTATAGAAAATTACACACTTATTATCAGGTATAGGTCACTGCTATACTTATAAGTCATGATTCAAAAATGTTATTGAATCCATTAGTGAAAAGTACCATGACCAGTACTMATTTTACATAGAAATAAAATGATAATAAAAAGTTTTTGTTTTTGTTTATAGTTATAAAAATACAATTTTAAAATGAGCATAATGCAATACACCTGTCAGCGAGAGTACGACGTTTCCATAGACTCATCGGTGTATGTTGCAGTCAGAAAAGCGAGAGACTGCGGGGGGGAACTTTTTTGGACACGGTTCTTCTAAATTACACATGTATCAAAGTGACATCTATGACAGAGGGATGAACAGAACGTCGGAGTGAACAAGAAGCCTTTGTCACGACAGACAGTGTGATTCGTCACAGATGAAAGAGAACAGGTAACATTAGAAATGATTATACAATGCTCAAATGTCTCTGGGAGCCTTCAAAGCGTGACAGTAATTGTGTTTGCAAAAATGACAGACTTTCCAAAATATTAACTAAAGCAAAAAAAAAATATTTTTTTGTCAATTTAAGGATTGAAAAGGGGTGAAATACGATTTTCCCACAAAACATATTTAGGTTACATAAATAAGAGCTTAAACCTCAGTGATTATATTTCTTTTAGAGATATAACCCCATTTAAAGGACTTTAAAAGCAATTGAACAAATGAGCACATTCATTATTAACACCTTGTCTAGAATCATTTTAAGGACAAAAGTGTGAAACCCTGGGATATCATTAAAAATGTCTTTTTTTTTCCTATTTTAAAATGCTCTTCAAGCCTTTGCTTCAGCTGTCATCAATCATTGTTGGAACSAAGGTCTTACTGCTTTTTTTTTCTTCACCAGGTGAACTGCAGCTCAGTCATGCAGTGACTGACTCAACCATTGCACAATTTCCCTTTGTACCTTCAAGAACTCCTGTGTTGCTTTTGCATCATGATATGAGTCATTGTCCGTCTGTTTGGGTTCTGCTGCGTTTGACTCAACATGAGCAGAAAGCACACCCCAGAAAGTTTCTGTCTTCTTTCATGTCATTTAACGACATTGAYGTCTTTGTGTTGTTAGAGGCCATGCATGCCAATTATGTTTTGTACAATATACGTAAAGTATGTACCTTTTTATCTTTTATAAAGTGAATATATTTGTAAAGTGACTTCGATCTCTAGTTTTACAACGTCCAATCTAGACTCATCCCTGCCAGTCAGAATGCCCCCCCTCACCTTTGAACACATCTTTTCTATATTTCATTCACTTCACTGACTTCCTGTTCACTTCAGGATTGATTGTAAGGTTTTCTTGTTCACCTGTGAAGAACTCAACAGGAAAATTCTTTTGTATGTCCAACTTTCTGCAACACTAGTATGTGCCCTCTGGGTCACTTGGATCTCCTGACCTTTGGTTCTTGGTTGCCTCTTGGCTTCCACACAGAGGAAATTGGGACTTTGGTATTGTACTGCTTCCTAAATTATTAAATCAACTGTCCTCGCATTGTGGGTGTTTTTTTTATTTTTGTATGTTTTTTTTGTATGGTTTTTTTTGCAAACAAACTACATACTTTGTGCTATTTTAATCATTTATTTATCAAAACATTCAGCTCATTCAGGAAGTGGGCACTATGACCATTAGTTCTTGTAATTGTTATACTTTTTAAAACATTGGACTTTATTTACAATAAAGTTACCCTCTTGTAATCCTGAGGCTGTGGGTTCTATCCCATTGTTGCATCAGGGAGGGCAACTGGTGTAAAACACAAACCTTTTATGCAAGTTGGCCCACTGTGGTGACTCCTGCGGAAAGTGTAAAATGTATCAAGAWATAACTGTTTCATATCAGCCCATATTAATGATTATTGGTTAGTTTTTGTTTTGTTTGTTTTATCTACAGTWTTTGAAATTAGGACTGAGTCAATTAAAACTGCCAAGCTAATGAAGTGATTTTTTTTCTCTTTTATCCACAGTTTCCTCTTGAGCTGTTGCACTCATTTTTCCCTTTCTCTCCACGTTGTTCCACTTGAAACTGCTACTGCGCTCAGCAGGTTGTCRCCAGCTTACCAAAGATTGTGAGTTAGTTGATGCCACCAACATTGTTTAGCTGGGCTGTGAGAGGTCGAGCAGCTGAAGCCTTTTCTCTGCCTACATCCCCCAGAATGCCAAGCGGTTCTGAATAGGAGTTCAATGAAATTATCAACATTCTACCAAACATGATGTTCGACTGATGTTGATCATGTGTCTGTTGCAATATATATTGTCACTTTGATGTTGGGCCCATAGCTGAAAATAAAACATGCTTCTTTTAATATTTTAGCCATGACTGAAAAATTATATCATGGTAAAGCTGTAAAAAAATACTTATTTCAGAATATTTTTGTAATGCTGATGTCTCAAAATGACAGATGGAAGACTGACCAGTTTTATGCAAATTTAATTTCAAATTAATTATGCTGTGACTTTTATTTAGCACTTTACAGTGCAAACTCTTTTGTGCCAGCATGCTGAATATTTTGATTTTTTTTTCCCATTCTTTCCCTAAATCTACTTACTTTACCTTGAGGAAACAAAGGCTGAAGATTCTTGTGAAACAATGTTTTTCTTTGGCTACAACACCATCACAAACAAAAAAGTTGCAAAGAATAGACAAAACATCCTTTCCATGCTGAACTGACTCAGAGGAGTCATCCTCCTTTATCAACACAAAGCCTTCTGACAGAGGAGGACAAACAGAAGAAAAGATAAACAGAAAAATGTTTCAACAGGACTTCAAAACCACTTTAAACTAACTCAAACAGCCAAACAACCTTCACTGTGTGACATTGTGTACAACGTGAGCCAGCAGAA